CACTCAAATGGTTAAAAGTGCGCTTCAGTGATGAATGGGTGCTTGTAGGATCTAAATTTTTGACAAACAGAGCTATTTGGGTCTATGGACCACTCGAGTGGTCAAAAGTTCGCTAGAATTTCGAACATGCATCACTCTCTCATCTGAACGCCATTTGAGGTCATTCTTGTGTCTAAATCGAAGCCCCTGAAGTAAACTTTCCAATGGTCCTAACCTCGTTATGATTCAAAGTGTGGAGAGAGAAAATGATAAAAGAGTGAAGATTATTCAAAAATAGAAATTCAAATTTCGAATTTTTGATCCATCCTTTCCTAGCCATCTTGCTAACGTACAATACAAGATAGCATAATCAAATTCCTAATATAAATGAATGCATGAATGCAATGCATGACTCGATTGTCACACTCATTCCATTCTGCATTGCACTCATGGAACCAGATCAAGGGTATAGACTGTCTGGCATGCTCGGACCCCCTCGGTCCAAGAGATCTCATACCATCGCTGAGTGTTACCTAAACACCACCAAATTTATCGATTTCTAACTAAGAGGACCTTGGCACATACATCGTGTGGGTTTTCGGTCTTTCACCGTAGACTATCGAGCCAAATTATTCCCAACCTTATCTATACAAGATCCAGATTCACCACCATTATCCAATTGAAACCATAATATTTTAATCAAAATAATGCAACGCATGCCAATATATAATTCTCAAAAAATTTGCTCCATGCACCTCCGTTTAACAACAAGTTTTCATCTCCATGAATTCAACAACTTAACAACACAATAAAAACATGGTTTTTGTCAACCTATTGTATCAATGTCTACAATAATACCATTTTCCACCACTGGCCAATACAATTATTCCACCATTGGCCAATACAATTATTTCTAACATTGATATAATCTCACAAATTATATACATTCAACACCAATTTCAATATAATATTGTTTATTTCAAGTTTTGCACAATTTCACAAATTAGGATTTTTCACAATTGAGACATTTTCAATTTGAAACACGCTCATGCTATTTTATAAATACACACACACACACACACAAAAGAAAGATTTGATAGTAAAAATATAAAGAAATATCCAACCATTCATAAACCCTAACTTTTTGTTACGCTTTTTTCAAAATCTCTACCAATAATCTAAAATTTATTTATCAAAAATACCACATATACACCAAGAAACCCATATATACTAAACAAATAAAAGAAAATCCTACCTCAAATGGAAAAGAATAAAAATTGAAAAATCGAAAAAGGGGCAAATGAACTTTTTGCTTTAATGATCTCGAAGCCCTCGTTGAACTCTATAATGCTATACCTTGGGTCAGAGATCGATTCTCACTCTAAGGTGGTTAAATCTAAGCTTTTATTGGAGGCTTAATGGTGGAGAGAGAGAGAGAGAGAGAGAGAGAGAGAGAGAGAGAGAGAATGAGTGGTGTAAAAATGCCTAAGATCTCTATATATAATAGAAGCATAAAAGTAGCTTTAGGTCCCACAAATTTAACTAAAAGTGCAACTTTCACGCACTAAAATCAAACAAACCGCTCAAGCAATCAAAAGTTGCTCAAGCGATGAAAACTTGCTTGCAAGAACTCTATTTTCTAAAACTGACCACTCAAATGGTTAAAAGTGCGCTTCAGTGATGAATGGGTGCTTGTAGGATCTAAATTTTTGACAAACAGAGCTATTTGGGTCTATGGACCACTCGAGTGGTCAAAAGTTCGCTAGAATTTCGAACATGCATCACTCTCTCATCTGAACGCCATTTGAGGTCATTCTTGTGTCTAAATCGAAGCCCCTGAAGTAAACTTTCCAATGGTCCTAACCTCGTTATGATTCAAAGTGTGGAGAGAGAAAATGATAAAAGAGTGAAGATTATTCAAAAATAGAAATTCAAATTTCGAATTTTTGATCCATCCTTTCCTAGCCATCTTGCTAACACATCAATCCAAGTTCTAAACATCTAGAAAGATGTCTCAAATAATAATAATTGAAGGTCAAATTCAAACCCATTATTACCATGAGTCCGGAAACCATTCAAGTGCTAGGTAACGAGTACCAATTAATATAAACAAGTTGAGTTTAAGACCCAGGATGCCACAAATATAAAAAGAGAAAATTAGATAAATCTTATAAAAAGAAGGTAGTGAAAAATTAGGAAACATCCAAATGAATAGTGAAAGAAAAAAAAAGTTCAAATTTAAGAATTCAAAAATAAGATGAGATACATCCGAAAAGGAAAAAAAAAATTTAATATAGTTCTAACAATAGAAAAACTTGAGAGGACAGTAGCTTAAAAATTAAATAAGAGTGAAATGTCATCCATAATTTTTAAAAGTTGTAAATAATTAAATAAATAAATAAAAGAAAAAAAAAACTTAAAGAAGAACTATGGTAGTAGGTTAACAATTAGATAATGTGAAATATTGCCAACAATTTTTTAAAATTTAAATTTTGTGTTTTTAAAAAAATAAGCATTTATGATATCATATTATACATTCTTTTTTTTTTTTTGATCGGCAAAGAAAACTTTATTGATAATGCACGCACAAAGTACAAATTTTTTATGATATCATATTATACATTCTTAACTCCATTTTGTGTCTACTACCTATAAATTTTAACAATTTTTGTATTCTAAAACTACTTAATCAAAAATGAAAATAAAAATAAAAAGATGGGAAAGAAGGGCACTTATCAATCAGTCCTGTTAACTAGACTTATTTACCTAGAAGTTCTAAACAATAAATTTATTACTACAAATTTATTCCTAAAACAAGAGAGACTGATAAATTTATTGATAGGACTTAATGGGTAATAAGTTTCCTAAGTAGGACCTATTAAATTCAAGGGATGACCATTTTATTTTTTAATTTTGTTTTGTGTTTTTGTATTATGAAGCTACTATATATATATATATATAGCACCACTTTTTCTTTTTCTTTTTTTTTAAAATAAAATCTTAATTAGTTTTATTTTTATTTTTTGTTATATGATAATATAATCATTCATTTTGAATAATAAAGTCTTACATAGAACACGAATGACTTTAATACTTCTCTGACAATAACACGTGTTATACATGACAGAGGATATGTATTTTTAATAAATCATAATAGTTGTATTTGTAATTTTTCATTTAGTAACAGGCCTTTCGAGTATTTTTTTGATTTTTTAGCTAAAATATGATGTAAGAAAACTAGTATGTTTGGAATGAATTTTTGACTTTTTACGAAAAGATGTGCAAAAAGTAGAGAGAAAATAGAATCTTTGACTTTTTGAGATTCCGTTTGGCAAGGAGGTTTGCGGCTATTTTGGCCACAAAAGACAAAATAGACTATTTTAGCCACAACAAACAAAACATCACATCCAACCCATAATCATTACACTCTTCTCTCACAAAAAAAAAACCAAAAAAATCAAAAAACCAAAAAGTCATTCCCAAACCAAGCTTTTTAGCCAAGACTAAAATAGTCAAAAAAAAGCCGAAAAGCCAACAAGTCAATCCACTTCTCAAATGGAGGCTACTTTTTGACTAAAACAGTCAATTCCCAAACGTGGCCTAAGGATTCTCAATAAGGATGACCATTTTTTCCTATCTCGTTTCGCCCTAGTATCCCCCATTCCGCCTAATACAGATTTTTCATCCCAATGAGGAAGTGGGGTGGGGATGAATTTTGCTTCATCCGCCCCCGCTCTCACCCCGTTAATATTTACTAAATATATTTAAGGAACATATGACCAAATTATGCTTTTCTGCTGGTTTATAGTTATGACTTGATTATAACTCATGTGGTATTAATTATGACTTATTGTAACGTTAGATATGACATTATTTTGGTTATAATTCATAAGATCATTGATTATACTTCATGTGTTGCTTAGTTATGACTATTTTTTTTTTTTTTCCTTCGTTATGACTATACCCATATATTTATATGTATATATATCATCTAATATTTTCAATATTATAAAATTACAATTCAAAATATTTATAACTTTTATTAATATTTTTATTTTTTAAGTTATAAAATATATCCCCACCAACCAACTTGATTTGTCCCACCGTTGATAAAATAAGGGACAAGTGCTGGGGGAATACAAACTCATCCTAAATCCGTTTCGTGGCCATTCCTAGTCCTCAATTCTAAGTCGTCAATTTTTTAGTTTTTTTAATAAGATAAATTATAAATATACTCCCTAAAATTTATTTAAAATATAAATTGTCTCCTGTAATTTGAAAAATTACAAATATTTCACTGTCAGAATTTTTTATTTATCATAATTAATTAAAAATGTGAAGTTTCTAACCGTTCACCTATACAATAGTAAAATTATCTGAATTATTAATTGAAATAAAATTTTAACATTATTAAAATCTGTTAATTAACTTGATGATTTATTAATAAAATAACCTGTTTGTTATGAAATTACAAATCTTATGGGGCATAATTTAACTTTTAGAACCATAAGGAATAATTTGTAATTTAATTACACCTCAGGAGATGTGTTTGTATTTGTAATTTAAGTACACCTTAAGAGGTGTGTTTATAATTTACCCTTTTTAATATATGTATTTCTTAGACATTAAATGAAAAAAATAACGAATCCTAAAACGCTCCCTTATGCCCACAAACTCAACCATCACTAATGCTTTATTTATTTATTTATTTTTTTTAACAAGAACTTGTATTTTAATAAGATTTTTACTAAGAATAATGGTGTGAATGGAATTATTCGTTTTGACATTCTCACAACACTAAATGACTGAGAATATAAGGAAAGAGAAAAATTAGGAATCATGAAAAAACTTTCATAAAAATAATCATGAAAAATTTATGACCATTGGATTAACTTGATTAGTGTGTGGTGTTTTATTTTAAGTATAATCCAAGAGTCCTAAATCTTTCATGATCATTTTCATGAAATTTTTTTCATGATACCTAGCATTGCTCATAAGGAAATTAAGGTATTTGAGGACAGAAAATTCTGTAGCAAGTCAAAACAACCCTAAAATTCAAAGATGGAAAAACTTCGAAGTTGAAAGATGATACCCAATGGTAAGCACCGCAACAACAGTATGTTCAAAACTAAAACCCCACCCTCTTAAATGTACTCTTCTTCTTTTTCATTCTTTTTCATCATCAGTTTTACCAATATCAATAACAGTACCAATAACAATATAGAACTCCGTAAAAATGGCAGAGAGAAAGGAAAACATAGTGATGTTGCCATTCATGGCACAAGGTCACTTAATACCCTTCTTAGCCTTAGCTCTCCAAATAGAGCAAAGAGGCTACAATGTAATCTTTGTGAACACCCCACTCAACATCATCAAACTCCAACAATCTCTCCCACCCACCTCTTCCATTCGCCTCCTTCAAATCCCCTTCAACAGCTCTGACCACGACCTCCCTCCCGGGGCCGAGAACACCGACGTCCTGCCCCCACATCTCATCTTCAGCCTCGTCAAAGCCTCCATCTCCCTCAAGCCCCCTTTCCGTCAACTCATCTCCGACCTCACCACCCAGCACGGCGGCGCTCCGCCACTCTGCGTCATCGCCGACATATTCTTCGGCTGGTCGGTTGAGGTCGCACACGAGTTCGGAGTGTTCCACACCATCTTCAGCTGTGCCAGTGCGTTCGGCCTGGCCTGTTACTATTCCCTGTGGCTGAACTTGCCTCACCGGAATACTGACTCTGCCGACTTCAGCTTCCCTGACTTCCCCGAATCTGGCCTATTCCACACCACGCAGCTGGCGGCGAACATGTTGGCGGCTGATGGAAACGACCCACCTTCCATTTTCCACAGGAAAAACAATCTGACATGGTCAAATTCCGATGGACTTTTGTTTAACTCAGTTGAAGCGCTAGACGGGATTGGATTGGCCTATTTCAGGCGTAAATTAGGCCGCCAGGTTTGGCCGGTTGGGCCAATACTTTTTCCAGGAGTTCGATCCGGCAAACATGCCGGAATTACAGCAGAGAAATGCATCGAATGGCTCGACGCAAAACCAATAAATTCAGTACTGTACATATCATTTGGGTCGAACAACACAATCTCAGCATCACAAATGATGCAATTGGCTAAAGCGTTAGAGCAAGTGACGAATGTAAATTTCGTATGGGTTGTTAGGCCGCCATTGGGGTTTGACATAACCACGGAGTTTCGAGCAGAGGAGTGGTTGCCGGAGGGATTCATAGAGCGGGTTGTCGATGATCAGAAAAGAGGGTTAATTGTGGTACAATGGGCACCCCAGATGGAGATTTTATCCCACAAGTCCGTGGGCTCGTTTCTAACACACTGCGGGTGGAACTCGGTGCTGGAAGCGCTCAGCCGCGGAGTTCCGCTGATGGGGTGGCCGATGGGGGCAGAGCAGTTTTTCAATGCCAAGTTGTTGGCTGAAGAGATTGGGGTTTGTGTGGAGGTGGCAAGGGGGATTAAATTTGAGCTTAAGCATGAGGATATGGTGGAGAAGATAGAGTTGGTGATGGGCCAGAGTGAGAAAGGGAAGGAAATGAGAAAGAAAGCTGGTGAGATGAAGGAGATGATAAAAGATGCCGTCAGAGATAAGGAAGGTATTAAGGGGTCTTCTGTGGAAGCCATGGATGGGTTTCTTAATGCTGCGTTGTTGACGAAGGAGAAGACAAAAAATGGTTACACACAGCACAACACAATTAGTTAGGATGATAAGGGAAAAGAAGAAACAGAAACCAGTGCTTTAAGTCATTGGGTTGGTGATATCAAAATAAGAGAATTATGGAACTTTGTTTACAGCTCCGTTCAATCGTTGGGAATAAAATTTTAATTTTAATTTTAGTTTTTATTCTTATTTTGTGCATTTCTATTATTTAGTATTAGGGGTGTAAAAATGGTCTATGGCCCGGTTAGACCCAGGTTTAAGCCCAGCCCGGGACCCTGGGCCTGGGCCTGGACTGTCGTTTTGAAGCTTGGCCCGCTTCTCTCTCTCTGTTTCTCAACCTCAATTCCCATTGCACTACCAACACATCTCTTTCCGACGAATCTCTCACAGCCCAGCCACGTTGTTGTTCTCCTCTTGTCGTCACAGCCCAGAGTACGTGGGAGTCCTCCACCGTTGTCGGCCAAGATGCATAACAAACGAAGTGAGAGATGAAGAGAATGCCTTGCCGAAGTTCTCCACCATCGACCGTTCTCGAAAAAGACACAAGAGTGAACACGGTTCTGTTACACGGTCTTGGGTATAACTCACCCCAAAAGCTAGCTATTAAGGTGAGGGTGTCCTCACGCTTATATGCTTAATATTACTTTAGTACTCAGGCGATGTGGAGCTTCGCTTCACACCCTTCCTCACGCCTAGCGTGCTCACTTAGCAGCACCTGCGGGCGTGAAGGCCAGGGACACGTACCCTACCCATCCTTGAGTACTCTGGTTCTGATATCATGTTACACGGTCTTGGGTAGAACTCGCCCCAAAAGCTAGCTATTAAGGTGAGGGTGCCCTCACGCTTATATGCTTAATATTACTTTAGTACTCAGGCGATATGAGACTTCGCTTCACATTGTTTTAATATTACTTTAGTACTCAGGTGATGTGGGACTTCGCTTCATACCCTGCCTCACGCCCAGCATGCTCCCTCGGCAGTACTCGCGACGTGTAGGCTAGGGACACGCACCCTACCCATCATTGAGTACTCTGGCTCTAATACCATGTTTTAATATTACTTTAGTACTCAGGCGATGTGGGACTTCGCTTCACAGGTTCATCCTCCAAGATGTTGGGTTATAAATTGAAAGCATAGAGCTTTTTGATGAAGTTTTGAAAGTGAATGAAAAATATCTTTGATTTATCTAATCTGAATTACAAAGCTCTGTTATTTATACAATCTTTCTAAAGGTAGTTATGTATCTATTCTATAGCTAAGTATATAACAGAGTTTATACAATATTTGCTAGGCTACAATTTTTGACTCTTTGTTCATGATCTTGATGATCTTGATTCTGTGATGTGATTATTTCATCACTTTTCAATTGTGCTGGTTAATGTTTAAAAGTGTTTATTTATTTATTTATTTGGGTTAAGAGTTCTATAAATTGGTTCACTGTGATATATAAAAAACCATTATCATATAAAGTTGATCAGAATATGCCAGTGATATTCCAGTTCATCTACCTTACTGGAAAAATATTTTTTGAAAACAAAAAAATAAATGGAGAGAGAAAAAATTTAAAAATACTACCAAATAGTTTGACAATATCTAATATTTTATGTTTGGGGGAGAAAAGGAAGTGTAGAGAAGTAAAGTATTTTAAATACATAATTGTGAATGTGGTTAAAAAGTGTTTGTCGAAAATCTTTTATGTTGTGCTTTGATGATGAGTATATAGGTTGGTGTTTGTGTGTTGGTGCTTTATCTTATTTTATTTTATTTAGTTATCTTCTTCACATAACATCTTCTTTGTCCTTCATTCTATCATGCGTCCCGAATTTGCCATATGGCTACACATTGCCATTGTCAAATACACACAATTTCTATGGCGAGCTAGCTTTGCTTGAAGATACATGTACCAAAGTTTAATTATTTTCCTCAAAAGAGAGTAACACACTTTCATTGTTGGATTATTTTACTTTTGATTTTTAATAATTTGAAAACATAACCAAACATAGAAATTATTTTTTTATTTATTTTAATTTTTTATTAAATATATTTAATATTAGTCTCATTTTAAAGATATATTTTCAATGATATTAATTTTATAAAATTAAAATTTTATATTAAATATTATATATAATTGAATTATATATAATGAAAAAGGTTAAAATAGTTCTTTTAATTTTTTATTGAGAGAGAGAGAGAGAGAGAGTGTGTGTGTGTAGGAAGTGGTGGGACGAGGGAGAGAGAGTATCAGAAAAAAAATATAATTTAACTAATTTGAACTGTAGATTTTAAGTGGGGTGATGTGGTCCAATTTGGACTATCCTCGGAAGAAGGCCTAGAGAGAGAAATTGGAAAGGAAGCTTGCTCCCCACGTCGAACACTTGGCAGAACGAGTCTAGATCCTCTCTAGCCTTTTCTTCAGGTGCCGACCCAAATTGGGTTACGTCACCCTACTGAAAATTTAAGGCTCAGATTAGCTAAAAAAAAAATCAAATTTCAAATTAGAGGCCAAATTCTGAAAGAGAAGAGCTTTAACAAACAGAGAGAGAGAGAGAGAGAGAGGAGATGCATATTGGAACGATACAACCACCATCGTCGTTCTCCACCGGCGACCACCGTCCATTGACCATTGTTGTCCGTCGGAGCGAAGAAATCTTTTTGTTTTAGATCGTCAATCTTCATCCATTGCTGCCTCTCACGCCATAGATTGAACTAGGTTCCTTCTCAAAACTCTGAAATCTAGTTAAGTTCCTCCCTCAAACTCTGAAATCTAATTTTAAACCTGGATTATAAAGTGGATAAGGAGATATGGGAGGGAAAATTTGAGCTTTGTTTTGTAGTTTTTGAAATTCGATTTTTTTTTTTTTTTGTTTTTTTAAACTAATCTGAGTCGTAGATTTAGTGGGATGACATGGTCCAATCTGGATCGTCACCCGAAGGAAATGATGGAGATGCACAAAAAAATATTTTATTTTTTATATATACATCCACCAATACACACATATATCTATTAAGTGGTTTTGTCCCATGCCACATCAACATACAAAAATATATTTTATTTTGTATATTTACATCCACCCATATACACATATATCTATTCACCCATGCACACACAAAAGTGGTTCTGTCCCACGCCGACCACTCGATGTGGCACACACCAAAATTAAATATGTTTTGAATTTTAAATTTGTAAAATTTATTTTTAAAATATACAATCAAATTGGTTTCGTTTGGCATCATATGTTGGAACTAAAATAGTCATAAAATGAAAAAAAATAAGCTAAAAATTGATAAAATAAAATGCCAAATGCAAACTATAATTATTTCAATTTTTATCTCACAAAATTTAAACAAATTAAAAAGTCTATCTCCAATGATACTTTTTAGTCTAGGTTAAAATAACCAAAAACTTAACCCACTTTCCAAACAAAACCAAAATTTTAAATTTGACAAACTCTTTTCAAAAATATAATTATGAAATTCATTTGAAAATTCAAATCAAACAGATCATCAATTAATATTTTTTGACCTCAAAATTTTATTTTTTTTATTTTTTATTGTATTTTATTTTTTTGCAACAGGTTAGATAAATTACATTTTAACTCAATAATTTTACATTCAATTATATTTTAATCTCAAAATTATTTTCACCATGTTTTAGGCACGGACATACACTAATATATATATACTAGTTTATGCCCGTATCTAAAGGCACGATATAAATAATGTTAGGATCAAAATTTAATTGTAATTTATACATATCATGTTGAAATTTGTGAAGTTTGTGTCATTTTTTGATAAAGATACTGAAAAAATATACATTGAAATATTTTTCTTCTTAGAGAACTTGTAACAATTTTGCTTGTATTACACACTCTACAAAACTCAAATAAAAAAACAACTCCCCCTAGCCTTAATGCAAGTTAAGAAACAAATATATAAGATTTATAATGTTCACTAATATTGTAAATCAAAATAAAAAGCACGTAAAAAAATTGTAAACATAAAGCATAAAACACATCAGTAAGTGCTTTGCAATCATAACAAATTAAATATCAACCAATGAATACCAGCCTATACTTTATGATGAGGCAATTATGATGTAAGGGGTTCTAGGTAGAGCGGGTCGGACTGATCCACGCTTCTCGAGCCGGTATCCGGGTGATCAAGCCCACCAGAGAACCTGCACAAGAGTTCAATGGGGAACGGGGAGTCCCCCAGCGAACCCTCCGACGAGCAAGTTAGAGAGAGAAGCGGAGTGTAGAAATGTAATAGAGATAGAAAAGCTTAACCTTCTACATGTTTTCGACGTCTGCTTATATCCTTTGGTAATCATTACGTTGTCTCTTCCGACCTGTCACCTTGGCCAAAAGTCTGTACTGTAGCTTACCTTGTTCAGGGTGAGGGTGTGTTGTCCCGATGGAGAGGGGTTGTCGCAATACATGCTGTAAGGGGGCCTCATTAATGGCGATGTGCAGTGGCAATAACTTTGCAGATCTTTGTCTGCTGATGTCGCTTGCCCTTTTCTTGCCATGTGTCTTGATGTCATTGGTTCTAATTGCTATATGGGGCTTCGGCAATGCTGGGCTTCAACATTTGAGATATGTGTTGGGCCCTAAATGGTGGGCTTTAATCTTTAAGGGCTTACCCATGTCAGTAGTCGCCCATTCCCGAGTATAGCTTTAGTCCAACGAAGGGAATGTTGAAGAGAATAAGGGCCGTGAAAGATCGGCAGGGTGAAGGCCGACCGAGCGGGGTAACCGACCGTGAGGAGGGCCGACCGCGAAGGGTGGCCGAGTGGTGTGGTGCGGGGCTCGTGGGACGGTGGGGCTCGTGCTGAAGTGAAGTGGAATAGACAGGGAAGGAAAAAGGAGCAGTGGATCGTGGTCGTACACGTGGTAGAATCTCGTAGTGGGAGAGGTTAGGCGTTGGACGATAGGCTAAATGATAGGTCATTATAGGGTGTTGAAAAGACAGTTTTGACGGAATTTTAAAAATTTTCAAACTGACGAGAATTAATTGTGACCCTTGGAATACAGGCAAGCCGTGGGCCTTTGGTATTATCCGCTTTACCTACCTTTTTTGTAAAAAATCATAAGATTCCAAGTGTAAACTCCTTCGTTGCTAGCGATACACCTCTGCAATACTTTTTGAATTTTCTTACGCCCGCATCCGAAGCCATTCGCAGA